CAACCATAAAGAAAACCAACACTCTATCCTTCAGCAGCCATCAGTTTCAAACAGCTCCTCAGCTAGGAGTCTCTCTTGTGAGTCTTTGAGTCTTTCAGGGATCTATACTGAAATATAGATTTAGGCTAACTTGATAGTCCTATTGTGTCCTATTTTTAATTGCCCTCATCTCCTGCCAAAGTCTTTATATTACTGTAAACTTTCTTTCATAAGCCATTCTGGTAGTCTTGCCCAGTTTGTTCTAGTGCACATGGTAAAGTCAGGTTCTGTACCACCTTAGTTCTCCGGTATTGCTGACCCTCCGTGTATCACTCATCACGCTGCATTTGTTCCTGGAAAGACAGTGTGAACTTCTTCCCAATGTCTTGTCTCAAAGACTCAGGCCAGTTTTGTTCTTCCATAAAACTCCAGAGAGAGAAGGTAATCACTGACAAATGGCCTAAACCTGTCTGTAGCTTGCCAGGGGTGACATCAAGTTTAGGGTTCCCAGTCTTCTCTCCAGGCCCTAATGTTAAATGTTTGGAATTTCAGTTTTTCATCCTTATAGCCATTTAACTAAAAATTGTACATATTAAGTTGATACTGTAGGATATTTCACTATTTGTATACATTGTATATACAGAGTATGCATATATACACTATACATACACAGTATACATGAAGTTTGATTAAATAATTTCTTCGTAGTGAACATATTAATCTTTTTGCATTTTGAAATTAAAGAAAATTATTGCTATCGGTAGTTGCAAAATTGTAAGTATAATAGGATGAGGTTTCTGATTTCCAACTGTAGCTTACTACCCAGAGACCAACTTTTCCCAAACTCTTCCCTTACCCTACCCTTCTGATCCTCTAAGTCTCACCATTCTACTCTTAGTTTGCTGGATTCCAAGTATTTCACGTTAGATATTTAAGATCACATAGTACCTAACAGAACTATGCCCTATATGAGAGTCTCTTATTTTTAGGTCACCTTGCAGAAAAAAGCTCTCATGTACCTGGGAACACTGGGCATCGAGTCATGAGGTATCAGTCTCATAAACCTACCACTGCCTTCTAGATCTGAATGCAGACCCCCGGCTGGGATCTTAGCAATTCCTTTGCTTGAGCAGCATTTGTCTCTTGGAAGACTTCTAGGAAATAGTATAGTCCTCCAAACCCTTGGTTATTCCCCCTCTGCAGGGGACAGACATACTCCAAAAATGATAGTCATGACCAAGCTGAAATCCCAGGACAGGGGTTGTGTGCTGTTACACATAAAAAAATAGTGATCTATACCTACCACAGCCATACAGGCATGGTCTCTTAGGTAATTTCTGTGTAAGGATAGTTACTTTCTATAGGAAAGCTTAAAGGTTTGATTTATGAACCTCTAGTCTTTTGAGGTTTTTTTTATTGAGCTTTAGGCAATTACACTGTCAAGTAATCTTTATGATAGGTCTTGCTATGCATCCTAGGAGGTTCTGTAGGTTGGCCTCCAATTTCAAATCCTCTTGCATCAGTCTCTCACTTTAATCGTATTTTACATTTATGTTTTGTATTTTCATTGCTAATCCCTTGTTCTCTATATTGTAAAACGGTATTTTACATTGGGAATCAGATGTTTATCATCAGAAATAATTTTTTGAAGTAATGGGTAGAAAATGAGTCACAGATACAAGGCCTGCTTCTTTCTTGGAATGATACCATGCTATTTACTTCTGAGTAATTCAGCTTAGATAATTAGTATAGCTGCGCAGTGTACTATTCTTGATAACTCAAGAAACTGCAAGTTCTTTGACTGCATTTTGAATCTGATAAAGGTCAAATGTCACAGTGTAAGGCCAAGACTGTGTCTTTAAACACTTAGTTTTTATCTATATGAATGTTTTGCCTGTATGTATATCTGTGCATCATGTGCCCATGAAAGCCAGAAGGAATTGGGTCCTTTAGAATTGGAATTACAGATGGTTTAGCCACCTTGTGGGTACTGGGAATCCAACCTGGGTCCTCTGAAACAGCAGCCAGTGTTCTTAGCCACTGAGCCATCTCTTCAGCCCTGCTGAGATTATTTAGACTGAAGATGATAATTTGATATGGGATTCCCCTCTGTATGCTGTGAATACCATTGGTTAATAAAGAAACTGCTTTGAGCCTAAAGCAGAGCAGGGCAGAACAGAGCTAGGTGGGGAAAACTAAACTGAATCCTGGGGAAAAGAAGGCAGAGTCAGGGAGATACCATGTAGCTCCACTAGGGACAGATGCCAGGTGGAACTTTACCCAGTAAGCCACGGCTATGTGGCAATACAGATGAATCGATATGGGTTAAATTAATAGAAGAGTTAGCCAATAAGAAGCTAGATCTAATCAACCAAGCAGTGATTTAATTAATAGTTTCTTTGTCGTTATTTTAGGGCTGAGCAGCCAGGAACAAAGAAGTGGCCTCCTAAAACAGTAATTTATTAAAGTTCCCTACTAATGGAACAGAATCTGACTTTATCTGTGTATACTGAGTGTGCATTCAGTGACTTCTTATTACCTCTTCACAAGTATCACTTTGATTTTTTTATAAAATTCTCTAAATATTGTTATATACAATTTGTGTACTCCGTTTACCTGCACTGAGGCAATGAGCTGATGGTCCATTCTTGCCCCAAGTGGAGATTTGTGGCACTGTCAAATTCCAAAAGAATTTTCTTTGGGCTGACAAGGGAGGGGGACTTGATTGGGGGAGGGGGAGGGAAATGGGAGGCGGTGGCGGGGAAGAGACAGAAATCTTTAATAAATAAATAAACGGGGAAAAATATTTGTTTCCTTATTCAGACCTAGTCTGTCTGCTCTCAGAAATGTCATATGAATCTGGTCCTTACCACTCCTCCAAATTATTCAGGATGTTGGGAATCTCCAGCTCAGGTCCCATTCCAAATGTAGCCCAGATACTTGCCTAGTATACCAGCCCCACCTCTCTCTAACCAGACCCCACCCTCAGAAAGCCTGCCATTGGCATTTCCTCCCCTGGAGCTGCTCAGAGGCTGCACCTACAGGGTATTTAAGGCCCCCTTCTTGGGTGCAACAGTGTGATTTCTCTCCTGCTTTCTTCCCTCCACCAGAGCAACCTGGAAGTTGCTTTGCTCCGATTAACCCTGGTCTTATTAATTTGGCTTGATTTGGTATATTGCATGGTAGAAGAAACCCACTACTGTGGATTTCAAAATACTTACCACAGGCTATTACACAGCCACACTTAAATTACTTGCCATTGATGAAACTCAGTCACCAAATGTTTTGTATTATAGTTTGTGAAATTCTAAAGGAGGGTTCAATATTTCGGTGGTAAAAATATTTAAAAGCATAATTTGGATAATCACCTAGTGAGTCTGGTAGCCCTTGACTGAAAACACAAACTTTAATTTGTCTAACAGAGAACAACCCCATAGGCAAATTAAATATTCCTCAATTATTAAATCCTAGCAATAGTCATTGAGCTACATTTTCATCCATTTATACCCTTTGAATTGCCTATTCTATTACAATCCATAGTGATCTCCAGTTAGCTCTCAAGAAAATGTCATGTTCCTATCATATTTCTATTTGTGTTTTATATCTTACCTAATATATTATCTATCCACTTTCTTAAATATAGCTGCTCCTAGACTCTGATAACCTCATTGTCAGTGACTACACCATGTTTTCCTTACTAGATTCAGTTATTGAAGGGAAGAGGGGAAATTACAGAGAATCAATGCTTAATTAAAAATTGAAGGAAATAAGCCGGGCAGTGATGATAAATGCTGTAAAGATTATTCTGTCTCTTTAAGGTACAAGCCACGCCCACTCCCTCCCCCAGCTGCTGAGGCAGGCTGATCATCAGCTTCCAGCCTGAGCTCTCTCTTTTCCATCTCCCTCTCAGAGAGGCAGCTTCTGCCTCTCTCCCCACTTCGCCCCTTCCCCTGCTTCTGTGTCTGTCTTCTCTTTTTCTTCTTCCTCTCAGAAAGGCAGCTCCAGTCTCTCTCCTTTCTCTCTTTCCTCTCTGCTCTCTCTCTCTCCCACGTTCTGCCCTTCTCCCTTCCATAACATCTAAATAAATGTCCAACTCCACTTGGTATGGCGTGCTATCCATCTTTCTCTTGCCTGGCCCCTACCACCACATGGAGATCTGGAGACCTGCTGCGTGGTCTTGTGTGCCATCCCTGCCTAAGACTGCCCACTGCTGGGGACTTGCAGCATCCTGGGACCCACTGTCTGTCGCCGGGGACCAGCCAACAGCCCACAAAGCTTGCTGGGCACCAGCCACCATCCTGCCACGTGGTCTCCTGCACAGTCCCTGCCTGGGACTGGCTGCTTTCTGCAGCAAGCTGCTGGGAGCCTGCAGCAAACCCATTACACATGCCTTTAATCCTAGCACTTGGGAAACAAAGTCAGGTGGATGTCTAAGTTTGAAGCTAGCCTCGTCTACAGAGTGAGTACTATGACAGCCAGAGCTATAGAAAATTAAAAAATTCAAAAAATATATTCTTGAATATATTAAGAGAGGTTTACAATTTACTTTCTAATGAATCCAAGTAAAGCCATCAAATACAACTTTATTTCACTTAGCATTAACAAGAAAGGAAAAAAGTATATGGCTAACAAATTGCAGTGGAATATGAAATTTTCAAAAATAACAGTAAGATACTTGCCACTTTACTTTCATCATCATATGACATCACATTTCCATGCAAATCCTCTTTCCAATGCAATGTTACATAACATTTTAATAAGGTAAGGTTTTCCAATTTCTTGAAAGTAACAAATCTCTTGAGTCCTAAATTCACATGTGACTAACCATTTTATGCAGTTAACATAAGCATTACGCAAATCGCTGATTAAAGAGACATTTACAAAGTAACAAAAATATATTGTACTAATGTATAGAAGGTCAAGAATGCATACATTTTGGTTCTGGTATTCTATGAACTCTCCACTCATTAGGAGGCAGACTGTTCTTCAAATATAATACAGAAACCATAGAACAGACTCAACTACAGAGTCTTGGATTGTATCCTGGCTTTGACAACGGTGCCAGCCCTACCTTGACCTCTCCTTCTTATTCCCCCTGCCTGATCTCTAAGAGCCAACTGGTAGAGATTAGGGAAGGCACTAGGGACAGTGCCACTGACCTTAGCTAAAACTTCCAGAACTTTCATCTTGGTGGTTTCAGCATGGGCTCTGGGTCCCCACAGGAACTCATAGCATGGTGGATCACTGCCAGGAATTTGGCGGTACTCCAGGTACTTTTCCTGCACTAGATCTTTGTTTATGAACTCTTGGGGCTCCCCAAAGATTAAGTGCTTCTTCCCAGCATATACCCCTACTCCATTCAGAAACTGCCAGACCTCTTGTTCAGTGGCACGATTGCCCTTCATGAAGATCACACCCAAAACAGACATCAGGAGACCGGTCCTGGGCAACCCCCAATTGCTACTCAGACTTCCCTCAGTGGAGAGACCCAGTTTACCCACCAGCATATAGGACTGAGTGCTGGGATCTATTTCCTTCAACTCAAGACCAAAGACTAGCTCTAGGCGTGCAGAGGTTCTACGGAGGATCTCAGAGAACTGTTCCTTATACTTCTTGTTCACTATGGCCAGCATTTCACTCCGTGTAACTGCCTCTTTCATCTTGAACTTATCCAGCAGAAATTCTATTAGCACACTAGCCTTCCGCATGATCGGATCCTTAAGTGTGTGCTGAATAGAGGTCACTGTCTGAATAGCACCTGAAGTTTGCTTATCAGCAAGAGCAACAGCATTCCTAACACCTACACCAGAGCCTGTGCAGGACACATCTGCCCTGTGAGATCCAGGGGCTTTTTGTGTAAGCAGCACATTGTAACCAGATAAAGAATACCTGGGATTTAACAAAGACCTGCTTTTGCAGCTTTCCAGAAGGACATCTTTCTTGGAACATACCAGGGCTCCTGTACTCGTGGATCAGTCTCTATTCTGCAAACCCTGTGGAGGAAATTAAAACTTGTTAGACCACTGCATGAAAATCTAGTCTCAGGCTTCCAAGAGTAGGTCAGGCCTTTCACTGGGGTCCCTTGGGATCAAGATTCAAGTGTTCCCTTACTTTACATTCATAACCAATCATATCTATTATTAGTAAAGTCCTTTATACCCACTTCCTTTTGTTCTTCCCAAACTGACACTACAAACTCCCTCAGTATCACTCAGGTAGAAATTTAATCTGCCTTTCTTCCCACTTCATCTTTCAGGTGTCTGATGTGGGAGTAGCATATATCAATCTGTTGATTTCATTGGTTAAGTAATAAACAAACTGTTTGGGCTCATAGATTAGAACATAGGTGGGTGGCGTAAACAGAACAGAATGCTGGGAGGACGAGGAAGTGAGCTCAGAGATGCCGTCCTCTCCTCTCCTGGGCAGACACACGCGATGAAGCTCCAACCCAGTGTGGACATAGGCTAGAATCTTCCCAGTAAGTCCGGTGCTCACAGATTATTAGAGATGGGTTGATCTTTATATCAGTATTAGCCTGTAAGGGCTAGAGCTAAAGGGCCAAGGAGTGTTTAAATGAATACAGTTTGTGTGTTGTTATTTCAGAGCATAAGCTAGCCATGTGGGCAGCCGGGGCGCTGGGGACGCAGCCCCGCCGCTCCTATTACTACAGGTGTCAATCGGGACTCAGTACTAGCAAAAATTGAAATACTGGAGGGATTTTCCTCTTAAAAGTAGTGTTGTTTCCATGGTGATTAAAGTCTTCATCCTGACATTATCTGACTGGGGTAGAATTTCTAGGTTATTTTAGTGATAAGGAAACATTGCCTTACTGTCTTTTCTTTTTTTTAAATATTTATTTATTTATTATGGATACAATATTCTGTTTGCATATATGCCTGCTAGAAGAGGACACCAGACCTCACTACAGATGGTTGTGAGCCGCAATGTGATTGCTGGGAATCGATCTCCGGTCCTTTGGAAGAGCACACAATGCTCTTAACCACTGAGACATCTCTCCAGCCCCGTCTTACTTTCTTAAGGTAAAGTAAAGGAGAACTTCAGTCTTTGGTCCTTATTAGTCCCACTTAGGCCACTATACAGGGATGAAGTCCTATGGTTATGCAAACCCTCTTAGGCCACCATCCAAGAAAAGACCTATGGGCATATGTATTACCCACATAGATCCCCATACAGTGGCAGAGATCTGTGCAAATGGACCCTCTTAGGCCACCATAAAGGGACAGAGCCTGTCACAACAGTCCCATTACAGCCACCATGTATGGGAAGAAGCACGTAACTGTGCAAAACCATTTTTCCATAACACAGCACCACCTGTCTGTGTATATCGACCACACCAACAGACACAGAGCATGGAATTTTGAAGACAGGTTTCTCTCTAGCCCCTTAGAGCCCAGTAATTTTGTTTTGGTGAAGTTTAGTGCCCTGTGCCAGGGCATTCATCCAATGAGACCTGCAGAAAAACAAAACAAACAAACAAACAAACAAAAACCCAAAATACAGGCTGTTGGTAAAACTGCTGCATCTACCCAAAAACTCGAAAGATGCACACAGGCACCTAACCAAAAGCAGCTTTTCAAATAAAAGGGCTAAAAGGGACAAGGAGGGGTGGAAGAGATAAATTCTGACAATTTTAAAACAGATTACCCAACCCAAACCCCGAATTACCTAGAATAGATCACTAAGATGACTGGACAATTCAACTTTCCTCAGCTGAGTCCACGGAAAAAGAGTAATCCTCAACTTCTGGCCATGTCTCTGCTGTTCCTATAGACTCCTGAACTGAGAAAGGAAGTGAGGTCATGCTCACCTAAGATTCCCTGGACTTCTAATCAGAGCCCATAACTGATATTATGATCAACTTCTGGCCCCTTCCCTTCTGTTCCCTTAAACTTCTGAACCAAGCCTGGAACTGATATTATCTTCACCTTCTGGCCCCTACCCATCTGTTTCCTTAGACTTCTGATTAGAGCCTGGAAGTGAGTTCATCCTCACTTTCTGGTCCCTCCCCTTATGTTCCCCTAGACTTCTGAACAGAGCCTGGAACAGATATAATCCTCATCTTCCGGCCCCTCCCTGGCTGTTTCCTAAGACTTCTTTTTAGAGGCCAGAGGTGAGGTCATCCTCATCTTCCGGCCCCTCCCCTTATGTTCCCTTAGACTTCTGAACAAAATCCATAACTGATATAATCCTCTGATCAGAGCCGGGATCTGATATTATCCCCACCTTCCGGCCCCTCCCTGTCTGTTTCCTTAGACTTCTGATTAGAGCCTGGAAGTGAGGTCATCCTCACCTTCTGGTCCCTTCCCTTATGTTCCCATAGACTTCTGAACAGAGCCAGAATGGATATAAGCCTCTGATCAGAGCCGGGAACTGATATTATCCTCACCTTCCGGCCCCTCCCCTTATGTTCTCATACACTTCTGATTAGAGCCCAGAAGTGAGGTCATCCTAACCTTCCGGCCCCTCCCCTTATATTCGCCAAGATTTCTGAACAGAGCCGGAAAGGATATAATCCTCTGATCAGAGCCGGGAAAAACTGATATTATCCTCACCTCACAGCCCCTTCCCATATGTTCCCCTGGTCTGCTAATCAGGCCCAGAAGTGATACTATCCTAACCTTCTGGCCTATCCCTCCTGTTCCAGTACACTTTTGTTCAGATCCTGGAACTGATATAATCCGCTGTACAGATCCTGGAACTAATATTATCCTCACCTTCTGGCCCCTCCCCTTCTGTTCCCTCAGACTTCTGATCAGAGCCAACTAGTGATATTATCCTCACCTTCTGGCCCTTCTCCTTCTGTTCCCATAGACTGCTGATCAGAGCCAGGAAGTGATATTATCTGCAACTTCTGGCCCCTCCCATTTTATTTTTATGTACCTCTAAATATAAGTTGGAAGTGATTTAATAGGCAACTCTCTTCCTTCCCATTTTGTTCCTCCCATTCTATTTTTCTTGATGTGTGAATAGAACTCAGCAATGAAGTAATCTGCAACTGTGTTCCTGCTTATTTTGTTCCTGCAGACCCCTGATTAGGGACTCATGCAATCTTCAACTTCACATTTCCCCTCTTCTGTTCCTGTATACCTCTGAACACAAAATGGATGTGAAGTAATCTTCACCTTAACATCTTTCCCATTCTTTTCCTGTGTTTCTGTAAATAAAGCTCCATGGGTGTTGATCTGCTTTCTTTTGTTCTATAGGAGGGAGTTTTCTGATGCTTGTCTTTTCTAGCTAGTTATTATTCATTCTTATTTAGCCCTTTCCCATCGCCTCTATTTGTCTTGCTTCTCTTCAATACTGTTAGTTTTCCTTTGTTTTTTTTCCCATCTCATCTCTGCCCCTTCTCTCCATTCACCTATGGCTGTTTCTATTTCAGGGTTCTCATTTCCCCTTTCTACCACTCCCTTCCACTCCCTTCCCTTTTCTCTTGTTTCCTACTCCCTACCTACCTCTCACCTCTTTTAGCCTAGTGACTCTTCCCCTTGCCACTTTTCCCAGCCTTTTTCTTTCCCTACCACTCCTTAACTTCTCTCCTCCTCTCCTCTAAAATCCCTGCCTCCCCTACATACTTCCTTCACTTGCTTTAACCTAATCTTTCCTCCTCTCCTCCACTCTCCCCTCTCTACTCTTCTCCCTACTTATTTTGCCTTCCCTTTCCTCCCCTCCCCATCTCATTTTCCTAATATTCCTTTACTCTTCCCTCCTCCTCTCCTTCGTTTCCATTCTCCTCCCTTATCTACATGTAATTACCTACATGTCTCCTTATGTGGGCTCCCTTCTCCTTTACCCACCTTGCCCTACTTCTCTCATTTCTTCCTATCTTTTCCCCACTCCACCTACTTCACCTTTACTTTTTACTTCCATCCCCACTCTTCTTCACCTCTGTCCCCTTTGTATCCTTTACCCTCCCCACCTACAACTCCGCCCCTTTTTCCTCTCCTTTATCCTCTCCTTTCTTGTTCTACCCTACCTCCTTTCTCACTCTCCACTAACTACCATTCCACTGCCTCATATTGCTATGTGCTCAGACTACCCTGGGTTTTTCTAATTTTATACAGTTGGCCTTGAACTCTCAATACTCTAGATTTCTGGTATAGCTCATGTGAAACCAATCTTGTTTGTTCACATATAGTAAAAAAAAAATAAGCTTTGTCAAGGAGTTTTATAATGAGGAAATTCTTTGATTGTAGCATATGGTAGACTTAAACTGACAGTCTACCTCTGCTTCATGAGTTCCAGAATTACAGGTGTGTAACATCATACTTAAATCTCATTAACTTTTTAACCTTCATTGTAGGTGCTCAGGTACTTCCCTTTGTTATGATTTTTGGCACTGAGACCGCTGATGTGAAACCATGGTATGATTCATCCATCTATGCCTATCTGGCCTGGATAATAAAGGTAGTGCAGGGTAGAGACAGGACAGGAGAATGAGTGTTATATATTTTGAAATATGGTTCTTTTCTATCCTCATTTTTTTCTATTTTCATCTTTTCTATCCCCATTTCCTTTCTTTATACTAGGCATGGAAATTAAACGTTTTCTCAGATGAAATCTTCCATTTCCTCCAGCCATGTCCCCACAGACTCTCTAAGGGATAAAAGAGGGAGATCCTTAGCCTGACAAGTATGTCTAGGTCCTCTGATCGCTGACATAATGGAATTTCTGAAATAACCACTCAGAAACTGTATTAATTAAATCACTGTTTGGTCTATTTGTTATAGCTTCTTATTGGCTATGAAACTAGCCCATCTCCATTAATCTGTGCACTGCCATAACGCTGTGGCTCACTGGGTAATGTTCTGGTGCATCTGTTCCCAGCAGATGGCGTATCCTGACTCTGGATTATTTCTCCCGGCATTCAGTTTATTTTCCACCACCTACCTCTATTCTGCTCCCCACAGGCCCAAGACAGTCTCTTTATTAACCAACGGTATTCACAGCATACAGAGGGGAATCCCCCTTCAGGTCCATATTGTAGGTTAAAGAATTTGGTGACTGGGTGATATTGGTGATTGCTGTTCTTCTCAGTGTGCAGAGTACCTTCTAGAATCATGGATTCTAGTCAGTAGCAGTGACTGTATGCTGTGAATTCCACTATTTAATAAAGAAGCTCTTTGTGCCTATTCAATACAGAATAGGACAAGGTGAAAATTCCAAGCAGATAGAGGAAGAGAGAGTAGGCAGAGTCAAAGGGAGATGCCCAGTAGACGCTGGAGAAGAAAGACATGAGCCATCAGCCAGAACCTAGCTTCCTGGTAAAGTATAAAATAATAGAAATGGGTCAATTTAAGATATAAGAGCTAGCTAAGAATATGTGAGAGACATTGGCCAAGCAGTGTCACAATTAATATAGTTTCAGTGTAATTATTTTGGGTCTGGGTGGTTGGGAATAGACAAACAACCTCCACTAACAGGTGGAGTTTCTATTTGGGGACCATCTTGACTTCTCCATGCTCAATGTAATAAGTAAGTGGAATCTTCAGCAATGGGGCCTTACTACCAGGTTTTAAAGAGTAACAGGTACCTTTGGCAATAGCCTATGATGTTTGAGAGAACCTGTGGGACTCTTCTTGTGAATAGTTCAACAAGGTGTATTCCATTTCTGGCACTGGATGTTTTACATGATAGCATAAAATGTCTAGTTGGGATATTGTCTCCCTTATAATATGAAAACTCCATTTACATTCTTTTCACATATGTATATATTTTAGGACACTTCTATAGTAGTAGGTTTCCACATGGTTTTTAAAAAGGCCTTTGTGTTAAATGAACTGCCCATTGTCCCTCCTTTACCCTATTTTCTGACCCCCTTCACTATTTAACCTTCCTATTCTAGTTTCCTATTTAAATCTTTATAATACTATATTTTATTTTCTCTATCTTGGAAAATTCCCTCCTGCCCCTGGTCATTTACTGTATACCTAACCTTTGTAGTTATTTGAATTGAAGCACATATATTGAAAGCTTAAAAGCAAACATCCACATATAAGAGAAAACATGCTATATTTGTCTTTTGCTATCAGGTTTACCATACTCAGGATGATTGATTCTAGTTCCATTCAGTTCCCCGAAAATCCATAATTTCATTTTTCCATTGTGTAACTGTGTGTATGTGTATAATTTCAGTTTGGTGGATTTCTACACTGTTTCTAATTTGTTGCTT